CACTCTAAACAACCAATAGACCTTTTCAATTACTACAAAGTAAAGAAATTAATAATAGACCTTTCATATGGCGAATGATTGAATGTATTGAACACAAACAGAAAACATATGGTCAAGGATTTATGTCCTAGTTTTGGCGTATATATTGATACTTTGAACCTTGAAAATGGTCCCTAGTTTTGGCGTCATCACATCATCAACTTCTTATTGCTCTACGAATTATATCTAAAAGGATTTAGGAAAAAGGGTGCAACAACTTGTGTTGTGCCTACAGGAATCTAAGCTTTAGGTTGAGATGGGCTGGACAGTATCTTAGGTTGAACATTAGGGYTATGTTTATCCACCCAATTAGGCTCATCAAAATTCAATCCCTTTATAATTGGATCAAACATTAATGCACTCAAATCTGAAACCAGTAAGATATGAATCCATCAATAATCTTACAATTTATTAGTGAAGTTGGTTTGAGGGTTCTGCTTTTAGTTTTTTACTGAAGGGTCATAGGCTTAAGTTCTATAGAAGTTAATATTTAAGTCATTTTATCCATGACATTATATCAAAGTTTTTTTATTCATTTTATTGTTAATATATAATATTCTCATTATGTTTAATCTATTGTCTGTTTGGCATCGATGCCGTTGCTCCAGAAAATAGTGACCCACCAGTGCTATGTCAGAAAAACGGTGCTCCAGGAAATGCCTGTTTGTTTGGAACCATTTTTTCATAAAAAAAAAAAAAAACGTGTTCCAAGTCACACCTTGGAAATTGAAAAAGCGTGATTTGGAGCAATGCCGAATTTGACGTTTTCTCAGATTGCAGCTCATTGCTGCCAATGAGGACGTGATGTGGCAGTGACATGGACTTCCTATGATGGGTACCAGTATTGAAAACAGACATGGAACACTAGTACCAAATAGAAAGTGTTGCTTTTTGCTCTAGGAAACGTCCTACCTGACAACAATGTTTCCAAACAGAAAAAAAATACATCATTTTCTCAAAAAAAGATGCTTCCAAACCATACATCAAACATATACCTAGTTTATCTATGGTTCCAACATATAAACTTCAGTTTGAATCGAAAATTTAATAGGGAAAAATTCAGACCAAGGTATATCTTATCCAAATAAGATAACTTCCCTTAACGAAATTGGAAGCAATGCATGGGCTGATATGACTTATTGCATTAATCCAATTAGTGTCCGTTTGGCAGGGCCTTCCCATGGCAGCGGATACAAGGTGTTGTATGGCTTGCAACAATCACCTTATGCTTGGTTTCACCGGTTTAAGAAAGCATCACAGAGGATCAATTTTGAGGAGTCCCAAACAGACTTTACTTCTGAGCAGAATCAGATTTGGAATGGGTTATCCCAATTCCAACTGTTTGGTTGAGCAGAATCCGAATCTCATTCTCATTCCTGCTGGAATGACATTTCTCCATTTGAGGGAATGGTCATTTCCTACCCCTTCCTTGGAAATGAAATCTCATTCTTGCTGATTTCAATTCACATTCTCATTCCTGTCTGAACCAAACAGACTATGGGAATAAACCATCCGATTCCGATTTCAAAGAATTCTAATTCCAATTCTGACTGAAAACCAAATAGACCCTAAATCTCCTAGAGGTAGTATGTGTTGGAATTACTTAGAGACACAAGTTAGAAGTGAATCTAGTAGATGCTCCTATTGATCATGGTCATAAGGCGTGCTACTGAGGGGGAGTTAGTATGTTGGAGGATAATGCTATGTATTAGAGATTTGTAGCCTAGGGAGACTTCTCTATGGTTGTATGACTTCGTTAGATATCTTCTATGTGWWTAGTATCGTAAGCCAATACATGCATGTTCTTGTACTTCACACATTGCTGCAGTGGATTGAATTCTAGCTTACCAAGAGGGAAATCCAGATAAAGGAATTTTGTATAAGAGGCATGATCATTTGAAGGTAGAGAGGTCTATAATTGATGCAGACTGGGATGGGTCTCTGATAATAAGAGATTTATTCAAGATATTGTGCTTCTGTGGGCAAAATTAAAATATGGTACCCTAGAAGAGTAAGAAATGGTGTAGTGGCAAAAAGTCTAATGTGAATGTTGAGGCAGAGTATTGGGTTATGGGCCTTATGGCACATGATCTGTTTGAGGTTCTATGATTTCAGCCTTTATTGGGAGAATTGGATGCACCTGTTCAGATTCCTTTAGGTGTGCTCATAAAAATCCGATTCAAAACTAACAATCCAAATTGAAAAAAATCTAGGTATTTGAACTGATCAATTTGGTTTTCTCAGAGATTCAATTTTTCAGTTTGATCTAGATTAACATAGGAAAAAACCTGTGRTTAACCCAGCTAATTAGTCTATTTATAATATATTATAAATACCTAATTATTTCCAATTATCTGTGCTTGGTTTATTAGAAGTTTTGAATATTGAAGATTGATGTATTTTTAGAATAATTATTAATTGTTTGATTTATTTGGTTGTATGTAGATAAATTTTGTTGAAATGTTACTGTAGGCATTTGTTTTGTTGATGATGAAATATTAATTGGTTCTTTCTTTAAATTAGGGAAAGAATAGAAAAAATATATATTTGCATGGAAATTACAATAAAAAGTGAAAAATCGATCAAGTGAAGCAGTTAACCGGTTCACCAGTTAATTATATACTAAACAAGAAATAACTAATGGCACAAAAGGTTGGCTCCCACTAGCTAGTTACTTGCTCCAATGCAGATTATAATTTAAACCTAAAAATAATATAAATAATAGAACAAATGAGCATTTATTTTCGTTAATCATATACACCAAGTGATTCTCCTCTATTTTCCTAGGAAAATGAAACTCCTTAGGTAGTTGATAGAGTTCTTGTTGTAGATTATCTCATTGTTTTCAAAACTGGACCGAATCGGATGGTCGAACCGGAAAACCGGGAACTGGTCACTTGACTGGTTCCGTTTTCCTTCAAAATCGCTTTTTCCCTCAAAACCGTTGATTTTGGTCAGCAAACCGTTGAACCGTCTAATTAACCATTCAAACAGTTTTGACCATTTTCCAATTTTTTATTTTTTTTATTTTTTTATTTTTTTGTCAAAATGGGTTGGYCGTTCTGGTCGAACGGTCAGACCGTTCGAACCGATAACTGGACCCCTGATCGGTTCGTTTTAAAAACCATGGATTATCTTGTCTACTCATCCAAATCAGTGATTACTTCTCATTGGTGCAACCAAAACGAAATTTGTGTACCTCAGACTCTTCAAGTATAGCATTCCCATTGGTAATTTTCTTGAATTCTTTACACTTTTAGATCATTTCTCATAGGGCTCTCTCTCTCTTTCTCTMTATATATATATAACTTTAATAACAAATTTTAGTATTTACCAATAAACATCAAATGAGACCAAAATTTAGATAAAATTCAAAACCCATATAAAAATATTTCATTTCATTTCTTTGTGCTTCTGCAATGACCTAGCTTTCTCAATTCTTGCATATCACTTGATGAGATAAGCTTGAATTAAAGGATCAACTCACGTCACTTCTAAGGCTATTTTATATGTAGGAATGCAAATGGATTGGATTCAGTAAAGGGTATATCCGATCCAATTCGTTAAGAAATTCAATTGATCTGAATTTGATAAGAATTCATCGGATTTTCAAGATTATGATTCTCAAATTTGAATATCATATCAGATATCCAATTTGAGTTGATTTGTAATAAAAAAATAAACTTCATAATATTATATTCTTTTTATAATATAATGTATAATTATATAAATAACATAATATATATAGAATATACATATAATATACATATAATATTTAATAACTAATGGATAGGATCAGGCTGTGATTGATCGGAATGGTTTTTCTAATTCAATCCATTTTTTTAGGATTAAGGGAGGTATTCAAATCTGACTCTTACCAGATCGAATTCAGATTCGAATAGAATCCGATCCAACTTATTTGCAGCCCTATTTATAGGGGTCAATCTTGTATATGAGTCGTGGAATGGCTTCTAGTTGTCCCAACCTGATAAATGTGAAGAAGTAGTTTGAACCAAACCCTATAGGATCTATTAGACCAAACCAATTATTTATCAGCACTGTCATGTTTAGAGGTGCAAACAGACTGCATCATGATCCAATTCGAGTTCAAATATGATCCTATCTTGTAGGTTGAAATATCCCTTTGACAGATTTTTGGATCGAATAGAAAAATAAGATCTGTTTAAAATTGTTTTGTTTTTATGTTTTTTCTCCTATTAATAATTAAATCATATCAGATCATATTCAGGCATCCAACATCTTCAATGGATTCAAATTAATCTTTATAAGGCCCATCAGATCATCAGATCAGATTGGATATATAATTTGTATTATCAGATCGAATTCAGATATACCCTTATTTGAATCTGATCTGATCTGATCTGATCTTTGCAACTCTTATCAGCTCTGCCCCAATAAGATATAGATAAAGTTTTAGGCAAGGTTCAAAATATTGATACGCCCAATACGCCGGCAGAGGCATATCGAGCAGTATCAGTAGTTCTTTTTTAGTTTTTTTTTTGTTCAAATCTGGTTCAAAGGGGCCGGTTTAATAAGGTCCGCTCACCCCCTGAACCAGCCAAAACCCTGATACACCCTCTGTAGGAGCATATCAGGAAGCTCCTGATATGGGCCAATATGTATCAATACTTTGAACCCTGCTTGTAGGGTCCATTTGGTTCATAGTTGAAATTGGAATTGCAATCCCTCGGAGTCAGAATTGGAATGATCTATTCTCTTAGTTTGTTTGGTTCAGACAAGAATTGGAATCAGCTGAAATGGGATTTCATTCCCAAGGGAGGAGGAAATGTCCATTCTCTCAAATGGGAGAATGTCATTCCACCAGGAATAGGAATGGGATTCCAATTACACCCAACCAAACAGTCAAAATCGGAATGGCTCATTCCAATTCTGATTCCAGACCCTTATTCCTGCGAACCAAACAGGCCGTTAACTTAAAATTTGACAATGAACACACTCATCTCTTAAAATGAAGGAAAACAGAAGCTTATCCAATCTCTCTGCTGCCAACGGAGAGGCTTATCCAAAAATGAACTAAAACAGTCTCAATCTCTAAAGGCTTTTAAACATGAATCGCCAGTCATCCCGAGAAATTGTACGCGTCAATGCGAAAGAAATCTGTGAACCAAAAGTTTCCAAACTAATGCAAGGTTCCGGTTATGTTGACGATGATACAACTTCTATGGCACTGCCTAATGGCCAAGCTGCTTCAAGCAGGGAATCCCCATACTTCACTTGCTTCACTAATGTGATCTCCTGCCAAGGATCTAGAGCTGTCCAAGGGAATAACAGTAGCCAATATGAGAATATTAGAATCCTTTAATAATGCTTGCCAGAGAGAAGTAAGAATGAAATTTCAACAGTGGATGATCTGTAAATTTAACGTACCAAACCCATCTACAAGCAATGTGAACTGATAGACAAGGTCCATACATAGATAAGGCAAGTTATCCTTCTCAACAAGCGGATAGATAGACTCAGCATCTGCAAGTTTAGTTTCACAAGCACGTTTTGCAGCCTCCTCAAAATCCACAGGGCGGACTTTGGCAACTGGCTTGTTGGAATCTATAAAACCAGCCTGTGTATAGAAACACGATCCAGTCAGCATTAACACAAAGCAACAAATGTGATTATTATGATGATGATGATGATTATAGGAGTTCTCATGGGTCTAGATTATGAATGTCTAATTACCTCAGCAGCCCTGTCAAAGAAAAATGAGGCAACAAATAAATTTTTCTGTCCAACCCCACCACCACCATTCCATACTCCGCCAAACGTGCACTTCATGTGTGTACATGATTCATTAACTTTGAGAGCCTTAAAAGCAGCCCCTCTGCACTCGTTAATGTTGGAACCAGATGCAGAGCTTGATACTTCATATACATGACCCCCATATATGTAAGACCCTTGAAGAAGAAAAGAGGACATCATCTATTAGTTTTTTGGAGCAATCATTTGAAACCAAGGATTAAAGTATCAGTATCAAGTATCGTCAGATAGCTCATATATGGATACGAATACACTTTGGAAACACATGGATACAAACGAAAAATATGGAAACACTTAGATACACTAGGAAATGCATACAAATCATATAAATATATTAATAAATAAATATAAATCTGAATCATATATGAATAAGGTAAACAGACGAGAAATGCACACTTTAATAGGTTATATGAAGAGAAGCATTACAATAAAAAATATTAGGCCTTTAGAACATGTACACATCATACAATAATTATCACTCTATTTCAATTTTATTAAATTTGTGGGAAATTTTATTTATATAATATTTTTATATAAATTATAACTATATTTTTAAAATAACAAACATGTTTTCATTTTTAACAAATAATTGTTTTATTTTACACAACCATTTAAGGTAGATAAAATAAATTATCTTTATAATTTTCAGTTTTATTAAATTTTATGGGAAAGTTAAATCTTAAATTATTTATTTTTGTTTTTATAATTATAATTTTTAATTTTTATTAATTTGTTGGAAAAATCATTTATTTAGCACTTCTATATAAATAATGACTTTATGTTTTCAAATAATAAATATATTTTCATTTTTAACATATAAGTTATATGTAAAATAAAACATATAAATCATTAAACAAAATAAATTATTTTTATAATTTTTAGTTTTTAATAACTTTTTAGGAAAAATTAAATATTAAGTTATTTATTTCATTTTTTATAACTACAACTCTATTTCAATTTTTATTAAAGTTCAAAAACAAACCAAAAGTGTTCAATATACAGCTTCATCAAACTAGGCACCGATACGCTTCCATATTGATGTGTATGGGACCGTATCCATTGATATAGTACAATATGGAAGCATATCATACCAATATGCACGAATAGTAAGACACATACCCAGTCGTGATGTGTACTATATCCATGGCAATGGATACAAATATGATATATCATATCAATATATACTTTAAACCTAAAGAACAAGAATAAAAGTATTTCAAAATTGGAAGACAACGAGCAGTAATCATCCCCTCTTAATTGCCACTATAGTTTCTGGCTGCCACAATTATTCACATAATTATCCCAATTACTCCAAAGAATGGATAATCAATACATTTCCTCACATTTAACCGTCTCTTTGAAGGAGGGGAGAAACAAGCTGTTCTTGAAATAATAGTAGGATGGACCATAAGGTTCTCAAATAGTGGGCATAATGGAAGGTCAGGAAGTTCATCTTGCTTGGCGAGATCATTGATATGACATTCAGTGGAGATTCATCATTTAATAACCGTAATTATTCAAAACATAATGAGCCAAGGCTTCATTCCCCAAGGTAAAATGATGAGGAAGCATTGGCGTTATGGACTTGGCTATTTTAGTTGTTAAGCTTGCTTATATGCTAGATGCCTAGATCAGGCAGAGACAAGATGGTAACTATATGGTCTCTTTTTTCTTTCTTTCTTTCTTTCTTTCATTCTTTCTTTTTTTTTATTGGTTACTATTACTTTAATAACATAGAAAACTTGCTCTATTTGTGTAGCATGTAATCCAAAGACAATGAAAGGACCCCTAGGCAGAAACAGCTGCCCAACTCCCTACCCCATTAGGGTATTATGTACAAGTTCATGGTTCTGACCTACTAAAATAAATTTTACTTGCTAAAATAACTCAACCAATTAGAACAACCAACTCCTAGAATGTTTAGGAAAACCAGCTACTAATGTAACTAGGAAAACCCAATCCCAGTGCAATTAGGAAAGCTACTAATGACTCAGAAAAATAAAAATACTAACTATTGAAAAACCACAGCAATAGCCCTGCATCAAAGATATATGGGAAATGAAGATATACATAGTACCATGATAGCCATTCAAAATGCATGGATTTTCAGAACTTCCCACAGCCTTCAGAATCTCTGCTCGGGATGCTAATAAACCATAGTTCAAGTAACTGCAATACAAAATGCAACATGTAAAGAGGCACATATTTAACAGGTCATTTTCAAAAAATCAAAGCCACAATAATTCAAAATATAAGGTTTCATTCAAAACAAAGTAAAAAAAAAAAATGTCTTTCAAAATAACCAATGTATCTAATATGAAAAATTTGTCATTCAAGTAATCAGAAATGATAGGAGAAAAACTCTATCTAGCTTCTTAGGGCCTATTGGTGTTGGAAACTTGTTAAATGCAGAATTGTTAGCACTAAAACACGTGTTAAAATTTTCTTCAACAGCTGACTAGAAAGAATTACATGTTGAAGGAGATTGTCTGGTGGTGATTAAGTAGATAACTTCAGATGAAGATGCACCATGGGTACTAGGATTCTTGGTTAGGGAAGTAAGGGCTCTAGCTACTAACTTGAATTGGTCATTCAAGTGGATCACTAGACCTGCAAATTCTTTGGCAGATATCTAGAAAAAGAGTCACAACAGATAAACTTGCATGGGATACTCCAGAACTGGGAGAAGATTGAATTTCTATATTGAGAATACAGGAGTATACTATTGTTTTTGTTTGTAACCTGCTATCCACGTTTTGAATTGCAAGGGTTTTTTTTCATATCCATAATGAAATCCACTTTAATGTTGTTTATTAAAAAATATCTAACCCAAGAATCATAACAGCAATTAGCATAGGAAGATGGAAAACCTGTGGACATAAAGATAATATTTGGTTCCTTTAAGAAACAGTTCYTTCACATATGAATCCTCCCCATTCTTTACAGCTGGAGCCTTTTCAGCAGCCTTCTCTGAGATTGCATATGCCATTTGGACAGATCCACCTCCAAGATCAACTATTCCCACTGTATTTGAGTATTTCTTTCCCACTCTTCCTAGTAGATAGTTTATGGTAGCCTGTACATTTAGAAGCAATTTCAGAAAATAATATAAAACTATAACCAATGAAAACTATTAAGCCTCAGTTTGGAAAGAGTACAAATACAAATATGTACAGTACAAATACATACAAAATACAAGGTTTTGTATGTATTTGTACTCTTTCCAAAATGAGCCTAAGATGCAGAAGAGAGTATACAGCAAGCAGGAATACATCATTGATATGTAATTCCTTAAAGATTATAAATGTTGGGAATAGGGAAACTTATGTTTTTTTGGCTAATGGAAACTTATGTTGATAACATCTCATGAATTGCAAGAGAATGAATGGGTAAAAGAACCAGATTTTTTTTAGAATAATCAAAAAATATTAATAATAAGTACAAAGATGTAAAAAAAGGTGCATTAAAAGAACAACATTTTTCATTGATAACTTTCACTTTTATTCATGAAGGTTTAGGTTTGGCAAAAGTTTTAGTGCCAGCTGCCTACCTGACACACCCTCCCCCTTTATCCAGGCTTGGGTCCAGTAATGTAAGACAAGCTCACACTGGCGAAGTTGACAGGCATGTCACCCAAAGAACTAGAAAAGGATGGGAAAAATGGAGGGGTGCATCTGAACTTTTATGTAACAAGCAAGTACTGCTTAGATTAAAAGGAAAATTCTGTAAAACAGTTATAAGGCCAGCTATGCATCTATGCTGTGTGGAGTAGAGTATTTAACAGTCAAGAAACAACATGTCCAAAAAATGAGTGTGGCAGAAATGCGAATGCTAAGATGGATGAGTGGAAAAACTAGAAAGGATAGGATCAGGAATGAAGTTGACCATACTCCTAGGTTCCTATACCTATAAACTGGTTCGAAGACCATCAACAGCACCTGTTAGAAGAAGTGATTTGTTATACAAGTTGAAGGGGCTAGAAGATCTAGGGGTAGACCAAAAAGGACATGGGTAGAAGTAGTAAGAAATGATTTAAGCACTAATAATTTAACAGTGGATATATATGGCATTAAATAGAATGGATTGGCGAAACAGGATTGATGTAGCCGACCCCATATAGTTGGGATAAGGCATGGATGATGATGATGATGATGATGATGATGATGATGATAAATTTCACTTTTTATTGGATATGATAAAGAACGAAGAATGTCGTAGTGTCTGCTTGGGAATAATGAAGAAAAATCTGCCAGAAGTAAAAGTACTTACGAGACTCCTATCCAGGTGCTCAAAATGGTCTCAAATCAGGTTTATTTTCAGTTAGTCTTTCTAGCATGGTCTGATCAGACCTACCAGTTCCTCCTTCCCAAGTAAGACTACTTGGGGCAATGCGGCCCCCTTAAATACCAAGTTCTTTACCTGAGTGATAGCATGGGAGAAAAGTCTAACCAAAGAAATGCTGGTGACAGAGGGAGCAAATCTTCCTGACATGTCATGTCAACCCGGAACCCAAGACATAATAGCCACCCCTTCACTGCAGTTTCTCTTCTAGAATCTGGTGGCACTTCAGCAAGGCTATTTCCTTCCACTGGTGCTCCCCCTGTTTTRTTTCAGCTTTATTAGCAGAATGGCGCATCTTTGGGATGAACAAAAAAGGCAAATGTTTAATGGCCGGTTGTCCCTTTGGCAACTCTTTGGGCTATCTGGCTTGAAAGGCACTCTAGAATATTTTATCAAAAAAGAAATCTGGAGGGGGGGTATCATGGTAATCAATGTAGTTGTTGAGGAGATCAGAAGTTGGTTGTCCAGTCTAAATGTTCAAAGAAACTCTCTCTCTTCCTCTTTTTTTGGCTGTTGACTTCTTTTGGGATCCTTAATTCGGTTGTGCATATGTACCATAACTTATAGACATCAATTCCTTTAGTTTTTTCCACTTTCATTTAGTCACTTATAAGAAAACAATGTTATTTGTTGTCTTCTTCATTGTCTCTACTATTTTTATACTACTAACTTCTTTACCTATCTTCGCCCAAAAAGGTGCAGGAACCTTTGTGACTTCTGACCACAATTGATGTTGTAGTACATGCTCCAAGGAAACTTGTTTAAATAACTAATATAACTAATAATTAATACCTTGATTTATAAGGAATGAAAATTGAGAATAGAAAATTGGAAAAAGAAAACACCAATCCAAATGATGAACTCTACGGATTGCTAAGGACTGAGAAATTAAATGAATCTTGAAAAGGGTTATGCACCTAAAGAAAGAAAGAAGTCATAAAGCTTCATAATCCTCTCTTTACAGCCTCCCAAAGTCAATCATCGTTACATTTAAGATTGTATAGCAGGATTTCATCTAGAACAGAATAATTATTCCTTCATAGTCCACTAGGTAGTTTGTTTTTGCAATCTATGATTCTGTATGTATGATCTCAAGGTATGAATGTATGCAGAGTGAGGTTCAAAACAGCATACCCACTGATAGGCACCTTCCTGAGTTCCACCCAGAACAGTGACCCACTCTGGTTTTGACTTCAGGGAACTTTTGTTGACAAGCAAATCCCTGACCTAAGGAACAAAGTATTTTAAGCCATGAGAGGAGGGGGTACATATTCAAGTGTTTATAAAAAAAAAGGCAATATAAACACATGCATCTACACACATAATTCATAAAAAGAAAGGGTAAAAACATGAGATTTACCGCTTGCAAAATTCTATCTGAAGTATCACCTTCCAATGCCCTCAGGCCTGCCGTTGCCTGAATATACATTGGAGTCAATCAGAGTGGACAACAGGTAACAGGTATGGAAGACTTGCATAGGTTAAATATTTTATAACAAAAGATATCATAAAGTACATACCCCAACTCTGACTGGTGTCTTGTTACGCAACTCTTTAGGAACAACATTTTCTGCTTGCTGCAAAAGAGATAGCAGAGAATCTGCAGCCTTCTCGGGAGCATTGGCATATGCACTCAAACCTGGTTTTGTCTGCAACAACAATGAACATAATAGACTTAGAAAAACATGCACACTAGATCAATATATGCACGTAAATCATAGGATGGGCCTCATAAATGTTGACATGAAAACATCCTCATTTATCTCTAATTGTGGGGCCTAAAATAAGTGGAAACAGGCAACATTCAGATAACAGGGCAAGAAGCTAGAAACAGAGAGAAAAAAAGAGCATTTTTCTAAAGGGTCATTTACTAAAACACCCCCTATAATTTTATGAATTTACTAAAACATCCCCTATAGTTTGCAATCAATTTACTTAATCAACACATCCATTCAAATAAATTTAATCAAAACAAATTAAAAACAAAAAATACCATTTTTACACCTAATAAAACACAGACAACCAGTATTTTTCTGTATTTGGTCAAAAAAGTATTAGGGGTATTTTTGGAATAAACAAAGATCCATACTCTTGAACATTTTCCACTCAATTTAGGGGTAATTTTGGAATAAACAACCATGTTCCATGCCCTTAAACATTTTCCATTTAGCTTAGGTGATCATTTACTATTTTCATACGGCAAAGCAAATAGTTCATAATAAAAGGTTGATTAAATAAAATTGTTGTAAAATATAGTCTATAGTGTATAGGATAGGCTAACTATAGGGGTGATCTAGTAAATGACCCTTTTTCTAAATAGAGAAAAAATTATAATGGTCATCTTGCCATGGGGCCAATAACTGGCCAGGCAAGTAACAGCATTATATTTATATGGTAATAAAAGATTTTTAGAAGGGATAAAAGTGTCTATGTCTCAACACAAACATATTATTGAATTAACACAGAAAACCTAGCGGACAAGACCGAAAGCAGAAAGCTATTAGCAGGAAAACAGTAGAAACTAGAAATCMAGGGGTTTTTCTTTTTCGGAAAAATACGGATAGGACCGATGCATATTATTAATAATCCACACTCTATCACCAACGCCCGCTCGTGAATTGGCATCAATTCCGAGCTGGCACCTACTTTACGCCTACAAACCCTGGGCTGAACCGTCATTCTCTCCCATGCAAAAAATAGGGTCTACGATAGTTATCCGAGAATCTTCTCTAAACCCATTGCATTAAAACGAGCAAATTCCGTTATCCAAAGTTCCAAACACAAGACGTAGTTTTTTAGTTCAAGTATGTTCTAAAGGAGCCAAAGAAATGAAGAAGCAGTACAATGCCAACCTCAGGACGTCATTCTAGTTTCTAAATGAGCTAATAAATTAGCACGAGCTCACCTGTACGAAGAGCTCGAGAACGTTTCCAATGGGAAGGAGATTCAGAGTTTTGTCGAAGCAAAACACGTGTACTCTGCTACCAGAGCTTCCGGCGTCAAATATTACCGCATAATTCCTGGATTCCCGGAGCTCGAGCAAGCCCCTACGCTCGAGACGAACATGGTCGGATTCGACGGAGAGGAGACCGTCGGAAGGTGATCGCGGCGTGAGAAAGAGAACGAAAGAGATAAGAAGGAGCGAGACAGTGGCGAGAAGCGTTATGCCCCTCAGCCTGTCGGAGAAGGAACCTTGCTGTATCGACCGCTTCAGCATTTTCTCCACTTGGTCTGGATCGGGGAGGGGATGGATCAGTGAGTCTGCAAACTTGGCCAGCTCCTCTCCTCTTCCGGTGAACGGATAAAATAAGGGAGAGAAGGATTGAATGAAAATGTCGTACGAGAGAGACAAAGATTGCTGTCCGGGGCCGCTGAACAGCTAATCTTTCTCTCTCTCCCTAAGTTCATCCCCCCAGTCCCAGAGTACATGCGCTGATGTACATCCCCCGTCCGATGCAGAGGCAGACAGTAGAAGATGCTGAAACTCAATACAGCAAGATTCCTTTCCAGATAAGCTGCAGATAACGTGGACCCATATGTTTAATGACACGTGCTGCTTAAAATATCATCTGTACAATTGTCTAAAATTCATCATAACTTTTCGCCATTTAAACTCACCATGATTTTTTAAAACGTCACAAAACCATCAGTTTTAAAAACTCACCGTCCCCTTACAACACTGTTAGTAATGACCAAAATTGTCCATATCAACATAAATACAATTTTTATTACCAAATTGCCCCTAAACGGCGAGTCGGGCTTCTTAAAAAATCCTTGTACATGTAAATTTTTTACCTAGTGACAGTAACTTCTTATTCCTCTGATTCCCCCAGTTTTTTTCCATTCTCCTGTCGCATCCAATCCTCAAATTCATCCCTACATGACCTTGTAGCCCGTGAAGCAAATTCGGAGATTGATTCTCAACCGGCCAATACAAAGTGCATGTCAAACTCAAATTTCTAGTGCCTGACTGCCAATCGAAGGAAAATAATGAAAATGCAAACTTGTAGACTGCAGTTGGAGAGTTCCGTGAAACCCTAGACCTCTCAATGTCCCTCTACACCGTATTCTTCTTTTTTGTGTCAAACTCAAATTCTAGTGCCTAACTGCCAATCGAAGGAAAATAATGAAAATGCAAACTTGTAGACTGTAGTTGGAGAGTTATGTGAAACCCTAGACCTCTCAATGTCCCTCTACTTTGTATTCTTCTTTTTGTCTCTAGCTCTAGGATTTTCGGGTGTGACTCATTACTCATTTTGGGCAATTGTTGAAGGGATGGGAGATTCATCACATGAATGGCCGAACCATGCAAGGTGGCTGGGCAAAATTTTAAAATTTTATTTTTTCCATTTGGGAATCGTATTCCCTAATTTAGAAAAACTGTACTTTCCAATGTTCGTTCTTAAAACAAACCGGATCAACTCTGAAACCAAGATTAGGGAGAGAAATACTTGATATGGAATCCACGCAAAAAGCTCCTCCCAATGTAGGTGTTCACGCCTAAAGAGAATACAAAATCCTCCCTCTACTGAAGATGACATAACTTAGGGTGAGGCAAAATCAGCAAGTGGTTCTTCAGCAAGAACCTTAGATTCTTCAACCATAATCGAACAGGGTAGTGACAACAGTTTCAAAGTTGTTTCTTCCACTAAGAAACAATATCAAGATCGAATCTTGATCACTCTAAGAAGTGGAGATCGAACAAGGTAGGGTAGCAAGAGCAGAGAGAGAGAGAATTGGAAGCAGAAAGTAGTCAAACTGTAGATATCTTTTTCAGTTTACCCTCCTCTTTATATATAACCCTTAAATAATCAATCTCCTAATTTGATTAGGAGTTTCTTGATCCAAATCTTTATTTGGATCTGAACTCTTTAAGTGATAAGGATAATCTCTWWTCTTATCTATAGATCAAGATCAGCTACTCCTAATCAAATTAGAAGTTTCCTGATCCAAATCTCTATTTGGATCTAGACTCTTTAAGTGGATAAGAATTATTCTCTTATCCTTATCTGTTGATCCATACCCAGATTCGCCTCTATTTAATTAATCCAATTAACGTAGTTCGAAATGGGATTTAGGCTCATTAAGCTTTCAGGCTCACTTCCTTCTTAATGCTAACTAGCTTGGCTCTCTTTGTATGGTGTGGGACCCTATCATTGATCTCCACATCAGCCACATGGGCTCATCCTAGCCTCTGTTACAAGGCATGGCCAAATTCACTGCTGAATACAGTGAACTCCTGAGTCCATCAGTATGGGCTCTTAATGGGCCCAACATTTACACTAAATGGTCATTGGGTTCAGTCATCTTATGAAGGCCCAAGGACTGTGGGCAGATGTGAGATTAGCCCATCAGGTTTGTTATCCTTAAATGGTCTTATACTTAACCTCTCAGCCCATAATGATCAAACACTACTCGACAAGAGAGAACATATCCCTCGGTTGTAAGGTACAATGTTGCACTCTCTACTCACATGGATCCCGGGAATTAAAACRTTTTGCAAATATTTTGTGAAACCATATATTGCAAAACAAATTTCAACACTTTGAAATCAACTGCCAATAGTTTAGGTTTCCATCAGAAATAAACCATTCCCTGGTCATTCATTTTGTCCGACAAAGGGGTTAATCCTATCACTATGATCACCCACTCAGGTGGATTCTCGAACTATCCCAACATACCTAGGTTTTGACCCCCTCTAAGGATCTCACTTGGCATATCAAAGACATCCCAATTCGACACCTAGTGCAGTACCATAATCGAGTCTAGGGGTCAGGTGTAACATTTCAATTTTGCCCATCTATCTCCAAGGTCCAGGGCAATACTGGATTTTGGTCTGGTTTAGAATTTCAAGCAAAGCCACACTATATGTACCTCAGGTCTCACCCTAACAGCTGAGACAAGCCACCCCAACCAACTTGGTGGCACATCAGTGTTAGCTTTGGCAGGATAAATCTCCCCAGATCTATCCAACGGTTGTGAAGATTCTAAACTAACACAAGTCTTATAAGTGTCTAGTTTAAGAATATTACACAAAAACAAACCAATATAACATAAATCAAATATGTATTTTATTCATTTACAATAAATATCATAATATACGTCAAACTGATTGGAACTAAAGACATACACTGTCTAACAGTTGTATCCCAGAAAGAAKTCTCGTCGGTGCTTCTTGTCCCTTAAACTTTGATGCTTTATAGAATCTTGTCCAACACTTCAAGCAACTTCCTCTTCTCGATACATCCACTCAATGCTGATACATATACCAAGGAATTCATCTGGCTCAATCCGTCTATCCTCAAATGACTTCAGGCTCTTCGTCTATGGGTTGAATGCTTCTCTATTTTGTTGCGATGCCTACCGGTCCTTAGGTAATGATTCTATTCCTAATATTAACATCCACACTTGCAGGTCGTGTGGAAACACCGAAAGAGGATAACAGTACAATTAGAGAAGAGTTAGAACGTTTACGGGAGGAATGTGAGAAACTAGCATCAAAAAATGCGTCTAGAAACTTAAGAAACATCAGGGACAAAAGTCTGGAGTAAATGACCTTGATGGCAATCCTGATGCTAAACGCTTGAAGGCACCAAAGCAGGAACCACCTTGTTAAAAGCGAACTGTATCATATTTCAGATTCCAGATTCCGATTCATATACGGATGTGGAAAAACAAAAGTCCAGATCAAAGTAGTGCTGATGATCTCATCTAGTTGTTGTGGGTCCACAACCAAACCAGACGGGCAGCTGGAAACATTAACAAATGGTAAAATTGTAATTTAATAACATCCGTTAATTTATCTACTGACATGGTGGTTTTTGTATGTTTTGAAAAGCTATGATGAATTTAAGAAAAATAGTGAAAAGTCATGATAAATTTTAGATAATTTTTTTTTTAATTTAAAAGAAATTGAATAAAAGACCACAAACTAAAAGCAGAAAATCAGAACCTCCACTGAGGGCCCATACATATCCTTAGGGTGCGTGAAATCGATGCTGCAGATAACGTGGACCCATGTATTTTATATATTTTAAGAGATTGATAAAAAACGACAAACTAAAAGCAGAAAATCAGACCCTCCGGCCCCATAAATATATATATTTAGGGTGTGTTAATTGGTGTAAAAGTACATGATTACACCGTAAAAAAGTGATCGTTAACTTTAAAGCGTGAATTCAAAAAAACATGTAAATTCTACATTATGTAGATATTTAATTTAAAATTTTTCTTTTGATGAAGTTTTATATTCATTTGTCATATAAAACTTTATTTTATTCAAATGCCGAAATGGAATTTTACATTGATTTTGATTTACATTCCTCCCGATAAAATCAAATCAACTTAAATATTTACATCGTTTTCAAACGCAGATAGGTACAGTATGAACATGATTAACATAACAATAAAAACCTAGACTTAAATTTTTTGTTTAAAACAATCTTATTAGCTAACAAATCAGTGGGACCTACTAACCTCCTTATAACTGTGAGAGATAATTATTGGGGAGCCGGTGATAATTGACAGGAGGCTAGACTCAATGATGACCGGAGAGAAGTATTTGTCCTAGCATAAATAGCTTATAATTCAGCCAATGAAAAAGATATTTCCACACCATCTTTCCATTCTAGTAGCCGTTGACATAATTGATTGACCACCCTCCGCTTTGTCATAGCTAAGCTTAAACCATTAATTGGAGGAATCACTCGCAAAATCATCCAGATTTGGGTCGGGATACATCCATTATCCGTAGTGGCGTAGTCGACGTTTCACTACGGAATTAAGATTGAAAATTCGAAGCCTGTGGCCGAGTTCGGCGCCATTCGTGTTATCAAAACGGCAAAACCTCCCCCCTCCAAATTTTAAGGATATACGATGGAACTATTGATCCGAAAGTAGCGATGCAAATGGATTAGATCGGATTTGAATCAGGGTATATTCAAATTCGATTTGACATTGTTCATATCGGATCTGATCCAATCAGATYTTATAGGCCTCAATTTAAATTTGAATTCTATTGGTAAGTTGGATCTTTGAATTTGATCCAATTCGATTTATTTTCTTTAAAAATTAATAAAATATACCAATTTAAATAAACAAAAAACAAAATTTTCAAATGTTCTTTTAATTATTTTCATCATATATATACAGGTTTTTTATAAAAAATAAATAATATAACAAATTTATAAATTACAATATAAATAAATAACATGTATATATATGTATGATATATATTTATATTTATAAATACATAACATATATCGGATCAGGTAGGGGTGATCCAAATCCGATCCGATTTTTGATCGAGTCCTATTATCTGATGTGAAGATCTAAACATAAGTGATCCGAATTCGACCAAATAGGATCGGACTGGGTCATGATCCAATCCATTTGCACCCCTACTATTAATTGCATGTTCGATCCAATCAGATC